GCGGGGCGGGCGCCGCGCCGGGCCGCGGGGCCCCGCGCCCGTACTGATTTGTTATAAAAAAATTAAAATAACTCAAAGAGTTTGCCCTACTGTTGACATTATTTATTTTGAACGAAATTAAAGGTTGTCTTGGAAATAATTATGTCTTTTTTTAACCCTTGTTCCTGAATTGTTACCAACCAAGTTGTGGAAGAGAAAACTCAAAGATAAGACTAGATGAGTACTGAAAGTGCCCACAATATACATATTTCATTTATCATTTCTACCATTTATTATGAACCCACTGGGAGTTACAATGGTTTATGTACAAAGATGAAAATAATAAACGTAACGCCATAAAATCATTGGATAAATTGACAAAACAAAATTAATCAAAGTAAAAAAGTTAAAAAAAAATGTATATTGAGCAAGACCAAATATAATAAAATGAACATAGCATCACGCCTTTTATCCCCGAAGGGGTAGGCAGAGGTGCACATTATACCAGTGTACCATGTAACACCCACTTTTCACTATTTATGCTATGAGTCCCATGTAATAGGGGGTTAGCCTATTGCCATATAACGGGCACAATTCGTGCTACTACTGAGAATATTTAAAAAACAGTAATACTTTGCCCGACCCGGGAATCGAACCCGAGACCCCTTGACCAGCAGTCGCACTTACGACCACACGGCCAACGAGGCAATAAAATGAACCGCCCTATTAAACTAAACTTATTAATATAAATAATCAAAAATCGATAAACACTCCAAATTTTGGTAACCAATATACAATAACTGTTCACTCGTAGTATTTAGTGCTACAATTATTTTAAATAATACGTGACTTTTTATTTATTAGAACCAGGTTTATTATTTATTAGAACTTACTGATATCGATATATCTTTTTAATATAAAGTCTGTCCGTACCTACATCCAATACATTCACACGTTATCACCTCATGCACTAAGTAGGCAATTAGTCAGTACCGCACAATGTGTTAATTAATTTTAACAATAATTTTATAAAATGGACAGGAACTTAGTAATATTAATCATAAACTCGGTGTAAAATTCAATTTACATTGAGAAATAATAATTTATAATAAAAGGAAATTAATTGAACTAGAAACTAAAGTATTATAGTCATGTAACTAATCACACCAATCACAATAATGATTGCATTGTTGCCGTTCGTAGTGAACAGACGTCCGCATTAGCAATACGCTAAATTTGTGACCTCCTTTCATATTGTTGCTTATTACTCAGTTTTTTTCTACAAATATGAAAACATAAACGTAGCGACCAAGTGAAGACAAAATGGAGAATAGTCCCAGTAATATCCGTGCCTGTACCTCGCAAGAGAAAAGCCAGCAACCTAGCTTCTGTATAGAAGTGGTATCCACGTCAGAACTCCAGAAATGGATGTCAACCATAGAGAAGCAGTTAAACGAAGTCTGCATTATAGCCACAGAAGGCAAACTCAACTCCGAGCAGAAATTAAGAATAACTAACTTGAGCCGCAAAATAGAATCAGGTGTATCGCAAATAGCAGTTTCGTATCAGTCTTTGAAGCAGAAAGCCAAACAAGCCCTCTATATAATTGACGACCTTAGAGAAAAACGGGACCTAGCGGAAGAAATTATGGTGTTGAAAAAGGTTATCAACGACTCTGCCGCAACTAAGAACGTCTCTTTTGCCGATATGGTGAAGAAAGGGCCAAATGATTTTGTGCAACCCCAAAAGCAAAATTCTGTTGCAATTTACCCAGTGAATAAATTAGTAAAGTGCAGTGACGAAACCAAATCTCTGGTACAACAAATCATACGGCCTGACCAAATGAAGCTACACGTACGTGGAGTCCGAAAAATCCAAAACGGAGGCATAGTAATTAGCACAGACAACAAACAGGATGCTGAGAAGGTCAAGCAGGCAGTTCATCAGTCGTCATCTGGTCTTGTCATCGGTGAGCCCAAAAAACGCCAACCACGAATCACTGTGGTAGGCGTCCCGACTTCTTTAGTTGAGGTATTGAAGTTCATATACGAGCAAAACATTGCTGAGAAGTTTCCAGAGATGGCCATGGAGTCCTTTTTAAGAGCAATTAAACTGAGCCACAAATCCGGAAAGAAGGATGCGCCGTCCTGTAACCTTATCATAGAAGTTCCAGCCAACATTCGCAAGGTCCTTATAGCTCAGGAAAGAATATATATAAATTGGAATTCTTGCCCTGTAAGGGACTTTACATTAGTCACCAGGTGTTATAACTGTCAACAGTACGGACATGCAGCTAAATCATGTAGAGGCCCCTCATCATGTGGACACTGCGGAGAAATAGGCCATTTAACAGCGGCGTGCACGAAAAAAGGAGAATCCCCTAAATGTGCAACATGCTCTCGGTTTAATAAGCCCAACAATCATAAGACGGGTGACGCTGAGTGTCCGGCAAAGAACATAGCTCAGCACAGGTATATCAACTCGATTGATTACGAGGGCGCGTAATGCGTCATACTTCTGAGTTGATTGGCCTCCTTATTGCACAACAGTGACACTACATATTATGTTAGATTAAACATCACTTTGTTGCTATCCAGCATTTGTGCTTACTCAAACACAACCAAATGAATGACCGTATGGACTTTAGTGTTAGCCTACTTAGTTTATTTCTGCTGATGTAGATAATTCCTCGTCGATATATATAATTTTGCTGTTTTAAACAAATCTTACTTTAGTTGTTATTTTAATATATTTATTAGGTATATTATAGTGTATTTTATATGAGGATTAGTTCTATATGTATGTATGTATGTATATTAAAATAATCATATTGTTTTCTGTTATATAATGTTAAGTATATGGCTCTGTAGAAATAAAATGTGTTACTATAAGAATTATATTTAGAACTCCTCTCGTCTGCGATACAGGATTGTCCTAGTGCAGGCATTTAACATTGTGAGGACAATTGTACGTATTTACGATATGTTTTGTATTTTGCATTTTTTGAATATTGAATAAATTTATTTTATTTTATTTTATTTTATTTTTTTACACCAAAATAATAATAACGTTCAATATTAACAATAAACAACGTAACTTGGCTGCCAGGCTGCAGGTCTGTACAGTCCGTGTTTAATTATATTCTATATCAGCGACCTAGCAATACATACCTACCTATACATTATCCATAAGTACTTAGTACATAACCTCACGCCTGTCTCCATTATAATGATAAACAGTGACGTGCTCGACACATGTTTCAGAACTGATAATACAAACCGGTTAAGTGTGAGTCTGAGTCCCGCGCGAATTATCCTGCTCAATTCCTTCATTTATTTATTTATTTGATCAATAAACGGCATTCAGATCTACTTATATGGGAGACCGTTTAAAACAAGTTGTTGTAGCGGGAATTGAAGGACATCATCTTGCATCTGTCACGGTTCATGAGATACAGCCTGATGACAGATATATAGATAGACGGACAGTGTATGCAGTCCTTTCGGTACGGAACCCTAATAATGAATATTTACAGAGCGCTATCTAGCGGACAATTCGAATACTTATATCAAATCACGCCACACGGATCAGCTTACGTAGTGGGAGAGCCGATCCTGACTACGCTACGAGGTGGCGCTTTATAACATTTTAAACATAATGGCTATATGAGGGCATTGAGGGCAGATGCCTTTACGTAAATTATACGAGAATAATGTTGAATTTTGTGAAATGATAGAGATGTTATATAATGTTCGATAACTAATAGATAGGTATGTATTTCATAAAAACACTTCACTACAATGTAACTTAAAAAGTTAAATAAATATTATGAGAGTTCGGCGTCAACCGGACTACTGACGAGGTAATTATGTGAACTTGTATGTTTGTATTTGTAAACGCACCCAAGATACAAGGAAAAAAATGATACGTTTAAAAAATGTACAATGAAACTAACTAGGTAATGTTATATACCTGGGTTAAAGTACACGTAGGCTTTATAACGAGCGCGGGCCTGCGGACGGCGAGTACGGGTAACTCGCCGCCCGACTAGAACCAGGCCCGAGCGTACGATGCGTCGCGTTCCGCGCGCGCCTCAAGGAGCCATCAGACCACCACAGATGGGGCCCAACAGGGCTGATGCCGATACGGAGCCGCGGAAGACTTAACGGGTTGCCGGGGCACCGGCTCGAAGTGCAGGAGTAGGAACGGGGTGGTTTTTAGTCAGTAAGAGTCTGACACTCCCTCTCGCCTCACCCAGGCGGGAGAAGTCATTGAATGATTTTCCCCTCAAAAAAAAAGCTTTATAACGAGTTACACGCGTGAAGCAGGCGGAGCACGGCGCTGCAGCCTACGTTTGGTGAAAGCTACTAGTTATCAATGTGTGACACAGACAACTTTGTCATTTGTAGACATCTATTTTATTAACTCGTTGAGTACCGTCATTGTAGACACAATTATAGAACAATAGGTTGCGGTCACCGGTGACCGCTTGGTGTTTGACAGTTTAATAGGTATACTTGTACTTTGGTTTGCTAAAATAAATTAAATCAAATCTTACAGTTTCCCATTAGGATAGTGTTGGGAAATAATGAAACCTGTGTCGTACTGTTCAAAGACATAATACGTAATTTACTGACTAAGAACTAACAACAATTTGTGAATCTAACTTACTTCGAGTCGAGTCGCGACACTACGCACAGCAGCTAGTCACCCAGCCATTGATATAACCGCGCGTGAATGTTACAAATTCCACACAAGTAATGCCACAGCTAGTAAGTTAACATTTCATAAAATATCGATGATAATATACCTACCTACACAATACACATACTCATTATAAACAGTAGGAAACATTGAACTGTAAATCGTGCTCGCGATATATTGGTCGTAGTTAAATAATAATTTCGAAAACCAGTGTAGTATCGTTCCTTTTGGGGAAAAATATTCGCGCCAGAAGTGTTTACAGGCGTGCACAAGCCATAACAGGAAGACCAGTATTAGTATATTGGGTAGCACGCGATAGTGCGCACGCGCCGCCGCCGCTATGAGCTGCACTACGGTCGCCGCGCTGGCGCTGCTGCTGCTGCTGGCTGCCGTCACTGCCGTCACTGTCGGCGACGAGCCTCCCGCCTGCGCTAAACTAAATAGATTCAACATCGACAAAGGTGACCCAGCGATTGTTTCTCTTTGTTCCCATACTTCAATATTATATAGTTGCTTCATGCACTACTACGTGGCTACAGAATACTCTTTAATTGTAAAACATTTTGTTGTTATCAGCACAATAATTTTGTAAACAGGTAAAATAATAAAGATTGACTGAGTCGATCAACCGTCGCATAAGATTCGATTTACGTTAATGAACGTCATTTTCTTACCTGCATAGCAAATACTTCTCTGCCTAATGCCTAAGTTACGATTTAGTTCGTCATAGATCGTAACTAAAATAAAATTCAGTATTTTACAACAAATCAATAATTAATTATTATATTGAAATCCTTCGAAATAAAATAATAAATAAGTAAATATTAAGGTAAAACTACGTGTTTAAGTTAATAGTTCGATCATGAATTAATCACACCAACAACATTAAGTCTTGGACCAGTTAATCCCGGACTAACAAAGTATTAACTTCATAATTGAATCCCTGTTAATAAAAATGGAGTAACTTCGAAGTAACCATACCATACTTACACTGGATAACGCGTTCCTTGTGGCAACCCAGAAATTTAAAAAAAGTAATTAAGACTGAGAACCTTCTATGAAACATGAAATCACTGCATTATTGACAGTATGTTACTAACTTGACATCGTGACAGGTATTATTGAGTCCCCAAGGACGCCTCGATAGGCAGATCGGTAGATCGAGGCGTCGCAGATCAAAACTACGCCCGGATTATTTGCGATGCCATTTTGCAGATTCATAACAAGCATTTTCTTTGAAAAATAACGATTATGACATATCGATGGATGCCCAAGACGAAATCTCCTATATGCGGTTCATTAGAAACAGCTACGGGACAGCTAGATAATGAACAATTCCCGAAGTGTGTGTCGTAATCACACGAGCATTACACCTATAAAGGACTCTTTTAAACGCGCCGCTTGCTCTACTTTTACGTGTTATGAAAATAATATGTTTCCCAAAATAAATATATTTTGCGGTGCTCTGGCGCCAAAACCACATGTTTTATGAAAAAAACTGTCTAGATAGGTATAAATTGTAGAAAATAGTGAGTAGTTTAATTTTGTAGTTAACGTCTTTCTCGTAAAATGCGTAGGAAAAGAGATATTGTAAACAACTGTCTTTGGTCGCCATTTTACTAAGATGGCGGCGCGAGCGGAGCACGAACCTGGGTGCAAAACAGAAATAAGAGAAAGCACAATAAAATTTACAAAATTCCCGATTCTCTTAACTCCCCGGAAACCTTCCCAAGTAACTCTTTCTTCCTTCATGATCAAACTATGTTAATATAGTTCTACTATATAAATAATAACTTCCGCGCAGTTTCACATGCTCTGCTCAGGTCCTATTGGTCGTAGCGTGATGTTTTGAGCCATCCTCGATAAATGCGCTATCCAACACAAAAAGACTTGTAGTTACGGAGATTAGCGCGTTCAAACACACAAACAAAAAACAAACTTTTCCGCTTTATATAATGGTATATAGGACTTTATGATAAGATTTAAGTACGTAGGTACCTGTCAGTGCGATAATACACCAGGTACCTGTTGCGGAGTGGGAGCTGTCTTTGTTTAGTGCGCAGGATTGTGACTCCCGTTGGAGCATAGTTAACAATTAGTAACACTATTTAATAATAACACTCATGAACAAATTATTTTCCTTATACCTACATACGATTATAGCTCATGGTCGTTTATTGTACCGTAGGTACTTACTTCACCGGCGTGTTACAAATTCTAATATTAGAGGTATATCAGGGCACAGGCGGTCTGACAAGTTTCCGTCCTATTTCTAAATGTTTAGTCCTCTTGTAGTTGTACATACTTCTCCCAGCGGGCGGTGCTTCCATCTCTCTAAACTGTGCCAACAGAACTTTGAAGAGGTTTATTTGAACGAGTATTATGTTTAAAATTTAATGTAAGCAATTATGGCAGCCAACATGAGGACAACTTTCTCATGCGTTAATACAGATCGAATATGACTATCATGAGACCTCGTGTAAGTGTGAGCTTGTGTGACAGAATTGTACAAGGGCAGTCTGCGCGAGGGCGGCACGGTGCGGCCCCTGCACCTGTACTGGGGCAGCGCGGCCGGGCGCGCCGCGTCCACGCTGCTGCTGGTGCTGCTGCGGCACCTGCGCGGCTACGACTCGCTGTCGCTGATGCCGGGCCCGCTCTCCACCACGCAACTTGCGCGCTATGTCCCGCATCAACCTGACCACAGATACAAATCGTACGTAGTTAAATTCGTTATTATAATAACTATCGAGAGACATACTAAATTAACTAAAAATCTTACTGGTAGGCTGCGCGACCGCGCACGCGGCTTATGAGGAAGAACCCCTCTGTGGTTCCCAGTGTCACCTGTATGAATGTATGTTTGTGCGCGATTGTCTTGCGATTGCTTTAATTGATTTCGACCTTTGATTATAATTATCTACAACTTTGCTATTGCACTTTTTTCTGGAGGACCTAAAGTTCTTCCGTTACATACCGACCATCTAGTTTTGTTTTAATCGACTCGCTAAGGCAAAACTTAAATGCAAGCTGTACGTGTTACAGCTGTGTATTGGGCTAGGTACATACATACATCAAACAAATAGTCAAAATTAGATAAGATCCAAATTATGGTAGAAACTGAGGTCATCATAGGAATAAATCGTCAAAGTCCCCATAAATTCGATCAAACTTAAAATAAACTTTTATTTTCAAACTAAAGTAGGTAGGCATAAAGTTCACTATGCTCGGTTACCATTTAAGAACAAATACCTAGTGTGCTCAATTTGCGGAACACACAATTAAAATAATAAAAATTGGTCTCTTGCATGAATATTAGTTATAAGCCGGGTCAACATACAGACTACATATTATCACAGGGTCGCTCCCCACAAACCCATGCCTAAATATTATTTAATGATCACAGGTATTCCAGTAATTAAATTCACATAACAGGTATTCCTAAATATGTCATGAAATTGTATGCCTCAATGGTATTTGTTAAAAATTTTATAATTTTTTTCCAAACTTGTGGCACCTACTTCTTACCTATCAGAGGGTCGGTAACCTATCAATACAGATGACTGATAATAGTTACGTTACTAATAAAGTTTTGTTCTTGGTTTTTGATGTCGGATCCTTATAATAAAAATGATTCCATTGTTGTGTGTTACTCACGTAAATACAGGTATAGCCAAGTAGTAACCCATATTTTACAATATAATGGATAATTTCAGTGACTTGTAGCATACTGTTAGAAAGAATAATAACTACAGAAGTTTTTTAAATAAATCTAAGTAAAACATGGCTTAATTTAGAAGTTACCTTAGGTGTAATTTCAGACGTGTGACTGATATATTAACCTTTGGAAGCATATAAGATTTTTTTTGAAACCATTTGTATCAAAGATATATTTCCATCAATCAATGTAATCAACTTCAAAAAATGCTTGAATGCTAGCTGGCCCGGCTCCGCAGGATTATACATGAAATATAGTGATGTGCAATGAATTATAATTGTGGCATAATATAATCATGTTGCTTAAATGTTTGTATAGTATAAAACTGCACAATTTACGGTAAATGTGAGAGCCCTGTAATTAATTAAATATAATTTAGACTAGTAGAATGCGTTTGTGTCACCTTGTAGTTGTCATGCTCACTCAAAGTTCTCATTAGCGGTGGCACAGGCATTGAATCGTTCGATTCCTTATAATATGGTTGAGTTGGGCGGTGCTGGGGTACGTGTCATGTTCGTGAACGGGCGCCGTCAATTGGAACTGATCTAGACTATATTACTTGATTGTCGTCATCGTTATTTTCTTTTTCAATGCCTTTCTTCACTGGATTTAGGTGTTGCATTATTTTCACATAATCGACCCAACTAAACTATCTATGTAACTAGAGATGAGTATCTCTTCAAAATGTCCATGTGGTGTTAAAATTTTGGATTCCAGATGGGTGATAGCTTTGTCAACTGCATGGGTCCCTGAACCCGCACAGCCGTGGGTTGAGGGAAACGGATCAAATGGTGGCCTCGCCGGGCCACGCCTGGCCGAGTTTGGTTTGAGCCCCGTGTCTGCACGGCGCCGCCTGTTCGTCTGGCTCGCACCACACGTACGAACTGTCAGTGAGTGCATGACCATGCAATGGCCATTCGATATTGACGAAACTACGCGTCTACGTTGTGGTTTCATCGATCCAAAAGTTCCACGGTAAATGGCAGATAGTTATGTTATTGAAATCATAATAAGATAAACGACAACAACAATTCAATATGATAATGACTAATGGTTTTATTTCAGTGGCAACAGGACACAAGTAGAAGTACTCAGTATCGACGACATTGTCACACTGGACCAGCTACTGAAACGGGCGCACGCCGCTAAATCTCCGCTGCTAGCACGCGATGTCAACTACACCGTCTTCTTCGACACATTGAGGACTGCCAATCACTCATTTTTATTCCTGGACTATGACATTTGGTCAGGAGAACCAGGTGTACGAGCGATAGAACCTCCTCCTTGCGTGCATGAAGGTTCTAAATATTGTATTAAGGAACTAGATACCGCTATTAGTTTGCGCATCGCCGACGTCGAAAAACTTCAAGTATACGCGCCTATGTTATTTAAGTTCGTACATGACTTTGATCCAGAACCTGAAGCTCTGCGCTACATCCTCGAAGAGGAAGCACGGGGCACAAATATTGAAGCGGCTGCTTGTGCCTGGGTCGACCGTAAAAAAGTACATTATTGCAATCACTCCGTCAAAGAGAAATATGACATTATTAACTACGAAGTGGCTTTGTATGTGTGCGTTTATCCCACATCATTATATGACCCCTCTTATGACGAACTAGCAAAGGATATTATCTACATTTTCAATCATGAAAAAAATACGAATATTTCAATAAGAAGATTCTTTGTAAATTGTTCTGACACATACAATATGAGCAAAAAATTAACAAACTTGATGGACACGATGATGTCATACCGCATGCTAGGCGTGGTGTCCATGGCAACGGGCGAAGGAGCGTTGGAAGCCTCTACAGTGGCTGCGGCAAACAACGTACCGCTGCTGTTGGTGGACGTGGTGCCGGACGACAGCAGCGCAGAGGCCGGCGGCACCACATGGCGGGTGTCGGGCAGTCCGCGCCACCTGGCGCGAGCTCTCGCCCACTTCATACTGGCCGCGGGCTGGACGCGCCTCGCCGTGCTCTCTGAGGACACATTGCTAGCTCGCCAGTACAATGCCGCAGTCAAACTAAACACGACAATAGTATCTCACGAGTTTCAAATTCCCACTCACTTAACCGATAATGATACAGACAGTATATTAGACGCCCTCCGCACCACAAAAGCTCGTGTTATTTTTATAAACGCAATCTTTGAGGCTGCTACCTCAGTATTGAAAGCGGCAGTGAAACGTAACATGACGTATTCCAACGGCTTCGTTTGGATAATGCGTGACTGGAAACAAAACAATGAAACCGTGTGCGATAGTGAGAAACACTTCACAGTATCATTTTGGAGCCATTCTACTTCAAATAACATTAAAGTCTCCTATTCTGACAAGCCTGTAATCCGACAAATGCATAAACATTTGAGGAATTATACAACGTTGCCTCGGGCCGCTGCATTCATGAACGCACATCTCACTCTCGTAATGGGTTTCAAAGATCTTAATCAGCAATTTAGAGTGAACCAGGACCTCCGCAATGCTTATGTTATCAGGTGAGAAGTTCTACTTACACTCATTCACTATTTTCCCATTTTTAAAATCAGTCCACAATTGGCGGAGTTATAGGGTAACATATAAAAAAAACACCTCCGAATATAGCACACCCTCCTTTTTTTGAAATCGAAAAGAATCACAACATACGACTCAAAGTACAATACAACCTTCCAGTTATAATTACTACAGCTAGCTTTTTCCTCGCGGTTTTATCCACTAATCAGCTTCTATTGATTGTAGCGTGATATTTTATAACCTATTGCTTTGTAGTCTTTACTAGATAACTACCTAAATATTTATTGACTTCCTGAGATAGCGCATTCAACCAAACTCTTCAACTTTTTACCAAAAATAATAATTGATCATAATTATATAGAGGTATACAGGCTGTCCCTGAAGTCGACGATCAAATGGCACCAGGTGATCGGCAAGGTTCCAATAGTTACCAGTAAAATGTAGAAAAAAATCCAAGTTTTTAAATTACAATGACTTATGTCTTATCTAAGAAAAAGTACACCCTGTGCCAGTCTTTTGACTCTTGTTGCTACAATACTTTATTTTTTCGTCTGTAATTTTGCTTACGTTGTCCTGAGTAGTGCTCCAGTATTATGAAATCATAAATTCTGTGCAAACTGCTCTAGTTTGGAACAAAATGTCGCTTTTTGACGAACCAATTAATAAATTTTTCACCGAACTTTAAGTGACTGTACACAAAAAAAATTGTACTCTACTAGTAGTGGCAAATTTCACAGAAGGTGGCGCATTTAATAAGGATTCTAATATGGTGTATCACTCCCTACAGTATTTCTTAAATTCCAAATAAAAAAATATTTTCCATCGAAACTCTTATTCGAACAATTTATTTGGGCTTACTGAAATTTATTGTAGTGTATCCAAAGCGCATCTAAAAATCTCGTATGCACTAGGTAACACTTTGCACGCGACAGGACCTCATCATGTTGCTAAGCATGTTGGCAACCAGCGAGGATCTCTTGTTAAACCATATCATCTGTCTACTCATAACTCATTCGCAGCATTCGTTAGCACTACTTAGTAACCTAAGTACACAAAGTACGCTACGTAAGCAAAAATACAAACGAAAGAAAAAAGAATTATAGCAACGAGAGTCATAAGACTGTCACAGGGTGTACGTTTTCGTAGATAACACATATCTCATTGTAATTTAAGAACTATATGATTTGGATGTTTTTCTATATTTTTGCAGATCATCTGGTGTCATTTGATCGTCGACTTTAGGGGCGCCCTATATATAAACGGCTTTGTCCTAAACTGAAAATCTAGTATTTATATAATAAATCTAGTAATAGAAAAACCGCTCATCGGATAAATCTGAAACTTTGAGGGTGCGTTCTTTGTATGACGTAGGTGAACAATAAGAATTACGATTTTTCGGAATTCGACCTCTAAGGGGGTCAAAAGTAGGGTCAAAGTTTGCATGGAAGAACTTGATTCCTTGATACCTTAATTCCGGAAACTATACGGGTACGTGTTAGACAAATGTTGACGTACATTAGGATGAAAAGTAATACATCTTTCTATTTTGAAAATCTTACGGAAACGAGACCTATGTGCGTAAAACTTAGAACTATAATTTAATGTATTTTGAACCACGCAATCTTTTACAAACGATCAATACAGGAAAACTAAAGTTCTGACTTTATTGAAATTTAGTATTATACATAAAAATAGGCCTTGGAAAAGGGGACAAGCCAAATATCTAAATTCTGCCTGATGTTATTAATGCACGAACGAAGTCGCGGGCTGTGTGCACCTCTGCCTACCCCTTCGGGGATAAAAGGCGTGATGTTATGTTATGTTATGAAGTCGCGGGCAAAAGCTAGTATTACTGTACGTCGCGTCGCGGCGAACCTAACGGGTAACCGGGGCTCCGGCTCGAAGCGCAGGAGAAGGAACGGGGTGGTTTGTAGTCAAAAAGAGTTATTCGATGATTTTCCTCCCTTAAAAAAAGTATGAATATATAAATGTAATGCGACTAAACTGTATAGTTGTCAAGTATAATACAACCACGGTAATAATTACCGGGATACAAGTTGATTACACATGCTTTCAAGGTTAAGGTTAAAACCGTCATGCAATAATTCCCGGCACTACATTTCGACGTAGTGGAGTAAGTGCGAGCGTTGTATGTTTTCTCATTATTTCTCACCACATTCTTTTTCTTATACTTACACTAATTAATTAATTTACACGTTGATATTAGGTTCTGCACCACCACGTCATAATCTGACCATCGTTCGCACCAAGAACTGTACCATTAGTGTCCTAGTATAGATAGATAACAAAGAAATGCATAGTTATAAGTGCCACTTTGTTAATTTTTTTATTATATATGCTGGCAAACGAGCGTATCTAATTGCGGCGGATCACCTGATGATAAGCAATCGCCGCCTCCCACGGACACCTGACACACCGGTGTGGAGTTACAAATGCGTTGCTGGCCTTTTAGAAATTAGGAATTTGAGGTTTTATATTTTAATTATCTTTCACTGTTACAGGTCGTTTAATGAAAGTCTAATAAAGTCGCCGATCACAGGTGTCCCTCACTCTCACCCACTGCGGTATAAGAACCGGGTGCTCGAGGACACGTATGTGTACATCGAGGAGTGGTGCGGCGGCCAGGCCACGCGGGGGCTAGCCACGTGGCGCGTCAACATCACCAGCGGCGCCGTAAGCGAATGGAATGCTAGTACCACCGCGCGGCTCGAGCTGCCCGACGACATGCCGCACGACGACGGCACCTCAAGCTGCAGGATAAGCTCCGGCGACCCTTTCGACCCCACGTGCTACGATGCTGTGGTCGCCTGCGTGCTGCTACTGCTGCCGCTGGCGCTTGTCGCGGTGCTGCTAGCGCGCCGACGCCTAGCGCGCCTAGCGCACGAGCAACAAATCCATGCCATCGCTCGACGTCAGCGCGTGGCCACGGTACTGGCCGATTACCTGGTGGAGCGCGACACGCTGGAGCTGCACTCGGAACTTGGAGCAGGACGATTCGGAAGCGTCCGCTTAGCACGGTTATGTAGACCTGGACGCAATCCACGATATGTCGCCGCAAAAGCTCTGCGGGACAACGCCGCACCTGCTGATGAAAGTGAATTCTTACGTGAAGCGTGTATGATTGCTTCTCTCGATCACACGCATATTGTTCGTCTGGTCGGTGTGTGCATTGCGGATGGACCTCCATTGGTACTTATGGAGTTAGCATTCTTTGGCGATTTGTTGGGTTATTTGCGTGCGCGTCGCCACCTAGTGGACGGAACAGCGTTAGAAGAATCGGCGGAGAGTGATGAGGCAGAGCACGTATCTGCCGAAACTCTAACGCGACTAGCTCGCGAGGCCGCCGAGGCGTTGCAGTATTTAGAAGTTCGCGGCGTCGTACACCGCGACGTACGCGCTGCCAACTGCCTAGTGGATAAGCGGCGCTCGCTTAAGCTTGCAGACTTCGGCATGGCGCGGGATACGGTGGCGGGAGCAGACGGCGCATCCGAGTACTCATGCCGGCGCAGGGGTCTATTCCCCGTTCTATGGATGGCACCCGAAAGCCTCGCACACGGTGTCTTTTCGGCTGCATCGGATGTGTGGGCCTTCGGTGTGCTAGTGCTAGAATTGGTGACCCTGGGTGCGAGACCTTACGGCGCCATGTCTCCGCTTCGCGTGCTGGAATACGTCGCGGCTGGAGGGTCACCACCATTACCACTGGATGCCACGCAACAAACGTAAGTTTTCCAATGTAGACGTGTTGATACAGCTGAACCTGTGCTTAGTTTGCTATAACCGCAGGCGCGGGCTGGCGCAGCTGTGCTGGCAGCGTGCGGCCGAGCGGCGGCCGAGCGCAGCGGAACTGGCGGCGTACTTGGCGGCGTGGCCGAGGGCGCTGCATCCAGTGCTGATGGACGAGCGCGATGCCGACAGCGGCTTTGGAGAGTCTCCGTCTACAGAGCTGCTACCTCCTGAGTCTCCAGCACACACTCACGATCAGCTCGACGTCTTAGCTGCGACTCACTGAAGGTAACACTTTCAAAGATATATCAGATACCTATATAGAGGTATATATCAGAATCAACTCTCTATACTAACTCTCTCTAATGCCTTGTTCGCACGATGCTAGTAATTTATTTTTATTTTATTTAGGAAACAAACAGTAACATAAAAAACTTACATAAGAAACAATAGGTTAAAAAGACTTCGAGTTCCATACAATTTTAAAGTGTATAAGTACATGCAGTCAAACAAAACAAGGGGTAGGCAGAGGTGCACATTACGGCACTTAATGCCACTGTACAATGTAACACTTTTCACTATTTATGTTATGAGTCCCATGTAATAGGGGGTGAACCTATTGCCATATACCGGGCACAATTCCAGACTGCGTGCTACAACTGAGATTTTTTTAAAAACCCAGTAGTAGGTACTTTGCTCGATACGAGAATCGAACCCGAGACCCCTTGCCCGGCAGTCGCAGCAGTAAGATGCTAAACTTTTGTTCAAATATATCTATTTCATTAAATTTATTATTATAAGTGTCTGTGCTACACTGATGAAGTTATTACGAGTGTAAACTGATTTATAGAAAGGAACTGAGAAACGAACGGGAACCAGGTCTGGGTACTTATAAGGCAATTTCTTCCAAAATGTCAGGGGCGTCAATGAAATTATTCAAGATTTTATAAAGAAATACTTAGTCAAACATCATGCGTCGGTCGGCAAGAGTAGTAAGTGAGTGATACACAATCATGATTTCCACGGTAATCTAAATATATAATACATTTCATTTGCACTTTTTCAATGCGGTCAATATGACAAGCGTAGTATGGACTCCAAACAGTACAAGCAAAATCCAGCAGTGATCAGCCGAAGCTAAAATAAAATAAACAACTTTTAGAGTATGCGAATGTTTAAATATTTTTGAAATCCTTAATATAAAGCCGAGTTGACGGAAGGCTCTGCTCACCATGTCGTCTATGTTATCTATTGTTACAATTAAAAGAAGAATTGTATTGCTTTAAGTTCGTAAAACTTAAAAAATCGGCTGTCAACTGCATCAACGAATTGTTGTTGACACGCATTACCATCGAACCAGAATCAGCAGCATAATACCAATCTACGTGCGTCACGTTACAATCGCCCAATATTAGAAATATCTCATTCGGGTACTGTTCTATTAAATTACTAATAGATTCAAAAATGATATTCAATTCTACCTCGTGGCAACACTGGAGTAGAATCGGAGGTGGTGTTTGTGGTGTTTGTGGACTCGCAAAGAGGAATACTGACCCATATATTATCTGAGTATATGAATGCATTCCATTCCGTTCGCGGGATAGGATTCATTTCTCGACGTACGGCAATAAGGACTCCCCCACCCCTCTCCGCTCCTATAACAGAAGCATTTCTATCACGTCGAAAAACAACATATCTGTCATCAAAGTATTCTGAACTACAGTAATGTTTAGTGAGCCATGATTCAGTTAAGCAATAAATGTCATAAATGTTACGAAGAATTTTAGTTAAAAAAGACAAAGATTTAGTTCTGAGTCCCCTAACAATTGGGTAATATTAGGTCAATAAATGTGTGAATGTGTTAATTGAAAATGTAAATTGATTACTATTGTGAATATGTAGTGTGTCAGAAAATAATTCCAGTAATAATGTACCTCAGAGTTTGGCATCGGTTTATAACATATTTTATTTATAAATAAATAAATGATAAAACACGCCATGTTTAGTAATAACACCACCTGACGCTTCGTTTCAATGTAATATATTTAAGTTTCAATGTAGTATAAAAAATATAATTAAACTAGTGACACATTTATATGAAAAATAGTTTAGCATAAGCACACAACAATTACATACCATCATCCAACGCATCCTTATGTGTAAATAAACAACAAAACAGACCACACCAAGCAACAACCTCACAAGACGCTTGCATTTAGATGTAATATAAGATAACAAAGTTAAACCGTAACACAATTATAGGAAAACTGATCTGATGTAGGCACAGCATAAATTGAACGTAGTCATATTATGTTAGACAAGACTTCGCCACTTGAGATACGAATGACCGTAGAAGTATCCGATTTACGTATAAATATTTTACAATCGCGGATCCATAGTTGTTTAAAACAATGTTGTTCTTTTGATTCCCGTGCACGCTTGAGAAGTTGTTGGCCTAAATGTTGACCGCAGGGCCCGATAGTCTGATGTCCGACCTTCGATGTTACAACGCTGCCTAGTGCAGCGTACAATTATACCTGGTGGTCGGGTAGGCGCATTGTTCTCCTCCAAACGCCGCACCCGGAGAATACAATTAATGTCAGTCATCTCCAAACTCAAACCAAAATAGGTACATAGATGCTAATTAAAATATTATCTAGGTTTTCTCCTTTATGGAATGGAACACCAGATATTTCCAGGTTATTTAATCTAGCATATTGGTCTCGATCATCATTATCTTTCTTTAATATAGTGTTGACGTTACGAAGTTCCTTGATGGTATTGTTAGCCACGTCAAGATCTTTCTGAAACACACTGATTTGAGACGTGACCAGTTCCAGACCTTCAAGACGTCCTTCCATAACCACCTATCGTGTATTCACGCCCTTCCAATGAGTGGTTAGTTCTTGAACCGTTAGTTTCATGCCACTGACGTCCGATTTCATCGCATCAAAATCTTTACGAAATTCCTTTAATTCTTTCAGAACGTCAGCTAAATTTGGAACGTTTTGCGAACTAGTGTGACGGCATCCAATGCAACGCCAAGTATCCCTCTTTTCAGAAGTCATCTTGCGATATGTAGTTTCTGATACATCGGAACATCCAAAGATGTAGAAGAGCACTACACTGACTACATACTCCATCAGACACCTCGTCGTTACATTTAGTGGAAAAACTCGTTGTTATTGTAGTTTCCAAGTACCGTAATCAATAACAATCGACTGTGGATATTTGTTTCACAATAATCATTTATCGACGCGATCGGTGGGCACGAGTGTTGCGACCGAGCAATGCAAGTGACTGACTGACTGACTTCTATTTTGGGACAGAAGCCAGAGAGGACTACTGAATAATCTCTACTCGACTAAAATACTAGCGTAGTGTGAACAAGGATAACTCTAAATTTTCACTTTCTTCATAAACCCAAGTATGGGCATTATAATATGTATATTTAATATTTCTATGTTGTGCATACAATACATAAAATCACGCCTTTTATCCCCGTGGGGGTAGGCACAGGTGCACTAAATAGTCTGACACTTCCCCTCGCCTCGCCGTCATTGGACCACCGCGGCGTACGCGGTTAAAAATCGCGTCGGGAATCCTTAGCCTAAATCTTGCGAATTAAATCATTAAATCTTAGATTCGAAATATAGAGGTAGATTAAACCTATAGTATTTTACATATGGGAGGAACCGTACCATGGTGCGAAAGGGCCAATTTGACCGTAGTGATACTTGAGTGAGGTCATCGGCCGGTAAGTCAAAGTCAAAATTATTTATTTTAATTAGAGCCGAAAGGCACTTTTGAACATTAACAAAAAGTTTATAAAAGTGAAGCTATTTGCTCATTCCACGGTGTAGATTCCTAGTTACTATACGACATACTGCTATAAGAATAACTAAGGTACACATGCCGCATGCAATAAATAAGGTAGTCATGCCGTACTTGTATCGGTCAACTGTCGGATTTTCCAGACAGCATAAGCTACAGAGCTTAATCGCCCTGCTAGAAATGTAGGTTAAAGAAACTCTACTTTTGATGTTATGTGGGGACCCCATTGTAATTTGTCTCCTCAATGTTGTTTACAATAATTCCAAGGAAAGTAGTTTATTTTACGAATACTAAAAGCTCAAACCCAAACTCCCTAAATCCCCTATTCCCAATCCCTAAAAGGCTGTTTTGGTGTGGTTACTATATGGTAACTGTTCTGATGTTGTGAGTGTCTAGGGACGGCGCCGATTGTTACCAGCACTGCATTCCATAGAATATAATATTATTTTCCCAATCATATTTTGCACGACGGCAATGGCAAGCCGCGAGCCGCCTGCAACGTGTTCCAAACTTGTCCGTACCATGTAGAAAAAGCCTGTTCTGATACGAAAACCAAAGATGCTGATCTGATACGAAAGATCCTTTGTTCCGCGCCGCCGTTGTTTGGTTTGTATATGTTTTTGTGGCTTGCGCGACCTTGACTGAACGTACCATAGCGGCCGAGTCGCGAGTCCAGCAACAGGAATTATATCCGCGCGCCTCGCATAGTAAATGACTTTACCCGCAGAGGCGCACTCAGTGCCATTATAACCATAGACAGACAGTATCAATGAATCAGTGTCAATGAGAGCGTCAGAACAGGTGTTGTGACACAGGAAAGTGAATTGAAATACAAAGATCTTCCACTTTGTGTTATCATTATTGTGATTAAGTTATGTAAATTATTGTTATAAAAGTATATAAGTGTACGAGATCTGTTAATATCATTTCATATAGTCCGCTCGCTACACAACTTTTGTCTCGTCAAGGAATGATCCGAGCTTGATCCCTCCGAAAAAACTATATTTGTGCGGGACAAATATAGTTTTTTCTTCATAACCATCGTATCATCCGCAGGACGTCCAAAACTGAACACAGGCCTTCCCAATGATGTCGTTGGAAGCAACCTGCATCCAGCCCAGCGCTCCCTGCGACATGCACGTGGCGTCTATTTGCAAACGTATCTACCCTATCAGCCATCGCGCGTCGTCGGTTCTACGAGCTACAGTTTATTTTTACGGCATTCCTAATATTTTCATCATTCTATCCACGAAAAATAAACACAGAACAGGCGTACAACTTATTAAAAAATAACTCGTGTTTGGACCTTACACTAAATTTATAACTTTATATTAACGATCTACGATGGAGCACGTCGTCCCATAAGCAACCTATTCACTCGGGCCTTGAAGACACCCAGGTATGGCTATACCTGGAAATACAGACTATGGCAAAGAGTGCCACTCCTTACCTTTACGGACAAGGAAGCTTGATGCGAAGCGCTTGGTGCGTGTGGGTGGGACGTCTACTATGAATCAGTGACGCTTCGCCGATTGTCTTGTGATACGATGACAGTAAGGACTAGGGGGAAACAAGTTGCGCAATTCCACCGCACACTCACTGAAATGAATCTGATAGAAAACCGATAACAACTTTACGACTGTGTTCGAGGCTTTGAAGCCCGACCTCCACAACCACATCATTGTTGACGAGCCTCTTGGCTCCTATAAGGTACCTATTCACTCAAGACTTGACGACACCTAGGTTGTATTTTTCTGGAAACACAGACTCTGACAAGGAATTCCACTCCATAGCGGTTCGCATAGAGATACTCGAAGCGGAACGATTCGTGCAAGTGGATGGAACGCCGACCATATTTCGGTGTCGTTTTACTGTTTGTCTGGTACTGCTGTATGAAATGGAATGGATTCCTCCGCATACTCTCCGGTAAACAACAGAAAGCGATTTATCATTGATGAGCACTTGAGGAGTGCTCATCAATGTGTGAGTGCACTTCTCGATGGACACAAGGGCTTCAGCTGACGATTCCGCCTGACGTTACGACCTACCTACTACACCTAAGGACGAGGGTGACTCAGACTCCGACTCTTCTATCTGTCTCTGATCCATGATCATAGGATCAAATGCAAAGAAATGTTGTGAGTTATGTACATAGGGTATCATTAAAACATGTAAGCTTGTTATTGTTAACGTTAGATAGTTATAAGTATACATAGTTTGACTGTTTACTGTTCCTGTTAATAAAAAACACAAAATGTTTTATTGTTGCAAATTATTTATAGCTCCACTTTAGAGGTACAATACACAAAAAATTACAATATTGTAGTTCATTATCGATTTATAAAATTCCACTTATTCACTTACAATATCATTATGGCATACATGGTATTAATAAAATAATGTGTTTTAAGGAAGCAATAAATACCTACCATTTCAATGATTACATTACAATCACGTCAATTCCAATTGAAAGGGGTGACAAGGTATACACACGAATAAACAATTATTTGAAACAATAAATGATTCACTGAATTAAAGGAACTCTTTTACTTAAACTTAAAGTAGATTTGAGAGAGAACTGACTGAGAATGCAACATCGCGAGTGGCGACAGGACGGTCAGGCGCAGGCGCGCGGTCACAATATATCGCCGACGCCGCGACTCCGCGCGTGTTTACAAACTCGTGCGGCGCGCGGCGGCGCGTGAGACTGCGCACCGGCCACTGCCGCCCACTGGGAACCCGCACCGACACGGTACTGTCCACTAACATTACCTACCCTTACATTGCTATCAGTGTATGACTCAGTTCAGTCAGAAGTTAAAGACTCACATTACCTATCTATACTTATAGTAAATCTGTAGAGAGGTCAATTCGGTACATGAAATATATTTGGATGCCAAAAATGCAATCAGTAAAAATGTTGTCTCTCTGTCTGTCTGTCTGTATAACCGCCATAGAAACAAGAACTGCTCGACGGATTTTAACGAAACTCGGTATATGTAATTATTTTTCATACTCTTGAGCTGGTTATAGTACCTATATTTTTAATCACGCTACAATTAATAGGAGCAGAGTATTAAAGGGAAATGTTTTTATAATAACTGTCGTCAGACATACTAAATTGACCAAAAATCGGTTCTCTTTTTCCACGTTCATAAGGAAACCTGACTTTAGTAGGTACTGTTAATACATCGTATAAACAGAAACATTTGAAACAAGTTAAACAAATATATTGTTTGTAAGTGTTAAACGGTTTTATTGACCTCTATTCAGCCAATCAAGCCCTTCCGTTTGATATTGGTGTAAGTAGTTGGAGGAAAACATTTAAACATAAAATATTATCAAGTATTGTGTGTGTGGTCACCAAATACAGATCGATCTATCGTCAGGAAGGAGGTAAAATTCCAATTACCACAGACCCGAACAAACAAACAGGCCGAGCTAAATGAAACCGTTTGGTTAAAAATCGTTCAAGATTAATTTATCTGTACCTATGTTAGTTTCAGCACAAGCACTTATTTCTGGAATTAATGGATGTATTTCTATAAAACTTTTCTTCAAGTGTAGATAAATGAGACACAAGTAAGTTTTATATTCCCTTTAATAATCTCTATCGATATACACGAGATATTCGAATATTCAAATATTATATAATCGTAATGTAGTGCATACATGTGAGGCAGCCATTACATGCTTGAATATGATATAACTCCTTCCGAATATGATTGGTAGCAGTAAGCAGGAGGCGGCAACTGGCGGCCAGCTAATACACCTCGACGCTCTCTTGGTGGTGCACGGTGTCTTGCCGGAACATTTCCACGTCCGCCTGGCTGTCCGCGTGGATCATCTTGACGCGTCCCTCCTGTGGACCGACTCAGTGTTCAAACATACTTATTGTTTATTATACTACTGCTCACGTACTACTTGACGCAGTTCATTTGTCTCAAAACATAGTTTCAAGATCAATAACAATATCTATTATAATTTATAATCCCGTACGAACGTTAATAAAAACTATTAGAGACGTATTTTTAGTTGGTCGTTCATGAAAACAAAACCCTAAATAAAATAATAAAGTTTACGATTGGGGTAGCTACGTCACTGCTCAGTATAAAATGTACTAAATCGTGTCAATATGCGATGTATATTTGAAATCAAAATAAATTATATTCAATAATATTAATGAATGTCACCGAAAGTAGTTTGGTTCCATAAGAAAAGAAAAGACATGATTTCAATAAATATGTATGTACAGTTGTATGCCCTCACCTAAAGTTATATCTCTATTCTAAAGATTCAATGCGAAACTTCAGTGGATTTCTTTTTTGTGTTGGAAATATAGTAAGTGGTATAAAAAAGTGCATAATTTAAGATAGCAAGCAAACCTTGGGATGCATGAGAATGAAGGGCAGCTCGGCGACGAGCTCGCCGCTGATGGCTCCTAGATACAGCTTCACCTTAGCGCTGTAGCTCACCACGATGCCGAATGCATCACGCTGGTCAGGATCCAAAAGCCTACATTCATTAAATTGTGTGTAATTCAATATATGATAGGATATCAGGGTTTAATAAAAAACGAATACGTAACCGAGTGAGAGAGGAACCGGAGATCTAATCCCCGCCATGCCCCCCATCCCCTATATCCAAATCAATAACTGGTAACTTCTTTGCTCTGCCGTATCAATTGCTTACTATTAGGTGATTATCTACTTGTTTGCCTCCCCATACTATATGGAAAATATAAATACCACTTCAATAATTTAACCTGTCGCAATGCGAATAAAATTCTAATTTAAAAGTAGTTGACGGGACGGGACATCCTGCGCCTTCTTCACTCAAGTAATATCGTATCATTGTAGAGTAAATATTTACAGAGTAGTCGACGCCAGAGTGGTATCTGCGCGTTTCAGCTGACCATCGAGCGCGATGCCGCGCTTGTCCCGGTTGTGGGCCAGCGTCGGCGTCAGGTGCAGCACCTTCTGCAAGCTGGAGCCGGGCTGCAGCGGGCAGCCGTCCCTGCAATACACGCACCGACTAGTAGCTGGCTCGTGGCACCAACAAATACTACAGAGTGCTCACTCACTGCGTCTCGATGCTGGCTACGATGTTCCGGTACTGTCCGTTCTGGAATAGGACTACGTCCACGCCCTGCTGGATACACGCCTTGATCTTCTTTACTACCTTGTTGCTGTGGTTGCGCACGCACATGTTGATCGCCACCGTCTCGCCGTGGATATACAGCTGCCACGTGAAACCAGTCATTTACTTAACCAGCGTATACCAAATGTGGGGTCACGCTCGACCCGACACCGAGCAGTCGATATAAAACACCGGCTCCGAATACTCCCACTTTATGAATACTCACAAAGACTAAGTCGCTCTACACACGTTCAATAATAAGTATTCCACAATACTTATATGCAATAATGAACTAGACATCTGGACATGAGTCTGAGCAGTACTTTCGTGCGAGCAAAAAGCAAGAAAATATTGTTAAGGGCCTATTATTATGTCAACACAATACATAAAAAATATAAATTTTATTTCTTTAGTTCAGTATTAACGTTCAGAACTCACCTACAGTCGGTCATGGATCATAAGTGGTGGGTAATTTTTAACCAAACAATATCAAAATGGGTAGGTATAGTCATTCTTGTGTGGTGAGACAGTAGGTACCTGACACACACATTATTACTTTATTGCACATAATACATTGACTTATATATAAATTAATTGTATATTTCATGGGTACCTGCTTGTCGAGCGTTAGCTCCAGCTCGAGCTGGCCGGGTGAGAGCACGAAGTCTTTGCGCACCACGGTGCAGGGCTGCGGCCCCGGCTTCGCCGGCGCGTACTGTACCTTGCGGATGCCCAGAGCCACGGTGCTCCTGCAGTATTCACTTTGTCCTCAAATATTCTCTTTCGACAAGTACCCGACAAGCGTGTACTACACAATAATATTTACTATAGAGGTATAATGATGACATGAAAATTTACACAACGATCAGGTCAGCGGCGGATGCTAAACACCTTCAGGAAGATCTTGGTAGACTGGATGGGTATTGTTTACAAAACAAATTAGATCTTAATCCGGTAAAATGCTCTGTGGTAACCTTTAGTCGAAAGAAAAACAATGTATCCACCCAATATTACCTCAAGGGCCATCTGCTTGGTAGACTCTATTCGGTTCGTGATCTAGGTGTTGTACACGATTCGAAACTCCTATTCGACGAGCACATTGAGAAAATAATTGCAAAAGCATCGAGGTCTTTGGGTTTTATTATGAGATCGACAGCCCCATTTAAGAATGCAAAAACATTCAAAATTCTATACTGTGCATATGTGCGAAGCATACTTGAATACGGATCGCAAATATGGAATCCCCGATATGATAAATATATTGCAAGAATTGAAAGGATTCAAAGGAAATTCATTAAATTCTTGTGCTTTCGTTTGGCAATTCCTAATAAACCTGGGTATGATAACTATATTAAACTCTGTAAACAATTTCACTTTCTTCCACTTTATAAACGTCGCGAGATAGCTGATGTTACTTACATCCTATCCATAGCGAATGGTAGAGTTGACTGCCCTGAACTCCTTGAAAAGTTGTCCCTCAATGTTCCGTCGAAATCCTTTAGGAAGCACGCACCTCTTTGTGCTCCGGTAGCAAATAGTAACTACAGGCAAAACTCATTCTTGTGTCGAGCCTGTCGTACTTTTAACGACATCAGTAGCAAGCATGATATAGATATCTTTTGTACAAACCTTAGGAAAGCTAGAACGATGATAAGTGGAGATTTTTTTAATGGCTGATTTTTTATTTATTTTATTTTATTTTTTAAATATGTATTCACTTTTTTTTTGTTAATGTATTTATAATTTTAATTTTGTCTTAGCTGTTACCTATTAAGTCAGTATTCGTGTGAATCTATAAGTGGCTCAATGTTACTATTTTTCTGCTAAATCTGTGTAATGTAGCTGTTGATTCACCATTCAATAAATAAATAAATAAATAAATAAAATAAATAAATAAACTTAAAAAACTGGACTATATCTATTCCCTCTGAGAAGTAAGTAGGTGCACTCGGTGCTACTAGTGCATTACATCTATCGGTTTCACCGAGGGACTCAGGGGTCGACATTAATATTAGCAGTAGCCTTAGAAGTGGAAGGCATACCTGCGGTGTGAACGGTCGATTTCGGAGTCACCAACGAAAACTTTAACATAGTACTGCACGCCACACGGCTCCCCTTCATCCTCAAGGCCGGGCTGTAGAGTCACGGAGCCGGGGGCGCCCGCCGGCACCGTGAGCCGGAACGGTACCGCGCCATCGCCTAACTTCTTTATAAGACGCTCCTGTCACACGTCAGTAAAGTAATTACATAGGTGTATGATCTCCTGGAACTCTTTAATCATATTGTGCAAATTGATTGAAACCGAAGTAACCTAAACGATCTTACAACGCGAACATTTGCAACAACTCTTGAGTAGTATTGCCATGGTGTGGAGCGAGGGGAACTGAGAAGCCGTCACCACTAAGGAAGAAGTGGAACGCGTGAAGGAACGATCCTCCTCATTTCCCAGCCGCTGCACGAAGAGACACAGGAAGTACATTTGCAACATCTTCTTGCAATTGGGTACGGTCCCAAGCTTTGTTACTGCCAATAGTAGTGTTAGTAATAAAAGTAGTATTTTAAGTATAAAAGTATCTTTGCAACCACAGATATATCAATTTTAATGTTTCTGTGTTTGCAACAATACCAGCCAACATCAAAAAATACGTAATAAATATTTATGTTGGAGAAATGCTGAAAGAGGTAATGATTACTCTTAGTGCGCACAATCGCACATGTACCTCTACATACATCGTGTGAATGGATGAAATGATGTGACAAAGGAATACGTAACATGTGCTAAGAATAATATGAAGGGAATCTGTGATGACATGTGATGTCGAGGGTTAAGGTAAAAACTCTTACCTGTGTTCGTGATAGTTCATAGTTCCGTTTTTCTGGAGGAGGATAGATT